GAGCAAAACGACAGGTGGGGACCAGAAACACCCCTGGGACGTGTCTTTAAGCCAAACTTCCTCATGGCGGAGCGCCCCCCCACACCCCGCCCATGACTCCTGCAGGCTCTCGGGTGAAACTGAAAGTGAAACTTAAACTGTCTGCTGAGCTCTCAACATTAGTTCTCACTCAGTGAAGCTCTTTTCAGGTTAAAATTACATTTGAGGAAATGTATTTTCAGATGCCAAGTAAACTGCATTGTAGCAGCCGCCCCCCTCGTGAGCGCAAACCCCCCCACCCCATCACGGCACTGAAATGGGCAGGACAGAAGCAGAAGGAGGTTCTGAAAGAGACAGAGGCCAATTTCAAGGCGTTTAGAAGAGGAAGTGATGAGAAGATAAGTTTATTTTCTATTTAAACATTAAAAAAAGCATTTTAATAACAGCTAAATGTGACATAGATACTTTATTATGGTATAGTATTTAAATATATGCCTGAGAAACACATAATATTGGCCCTTTAAAAAAGCTAGTTTACTAGTTGAAGTCATAATTATTTAATCAGATAAAAAGTCTTGAAATCACTGAAGTCAGTCACCAGTTAATGAATTCAGGTCAAATTTAGATCATCGTTAGTTATAAACATTGTATTTTCCTTATATAACATATTCTACATGATTGTTGTATAAAATAACATCAGTTCTGAATTATATTAATTTATTGTAAATAGATTAAAAATAATTGGACTTGTTATTGAACGATTGTTTTGTTGACCTCACTGGGTGCCAGGTTGGCTCCTCCATGATGTCCCAGATGGGTGGGACAGGCTAACTCTAGTTGTCTTATATAACTCTACGAGGAGCTCAGACTGATCTGAGATCCTGTGGAAGCAGCAGGACTAGGACCACTTTAACATTTAGTTTAATAAATAAGGACACGGTGGAATCTGTTGTGTGTTTTTGTTCACTTCAGGTTAAAGAACTTGGTAAATCTCAGACAGTATAAAACCCTGGAACTAAGAACAGGTGGAGTATTTACTCCTTGTCTGTGGATCTCAGGTTTGACTTGTTGAATAAAGGTTAAATTCATTTTCACCTCGATCGTAATGAGGACAACGATCATCCACTCCAACCTCAGACTGTGCTTGTCACTCAGGTGGCTCCTCATCAGGTCTGTCAGCTGAGTGCAGTGTTCCAGCTTCTCATTCACAACCTGAAACAACACCATCGTTAAAGCCAGTGGCTGTCATGGAAAACAGCACTGCTCTGGTTAAAAATATAATTTTTTTACATTGACTCTGCGGTTGATGCTCAGGAACCGGCAGGTCTTGTCGTAGAGTTTTTCCAGGTTTTCTCTGTCCCAGTAAAAATCGGGTGTGAGGAGTAGGTCGGACCTCAGGTTGATACAGTGTCTGCCAGAGAAGAACCATCAAACCAGAGCTGCACCATCAAAATCCTCATCATTTGTTCAAAAGAAGAAAATAGCTCAGGAGACTGGAGACTCTTCTGATTTAATCTTTATGAAAAAGACTGAAGTGTTAATGAAAGTAAATTTACCTTAAAGTAAAAAGTTCTCCTATCTTCTGCATCACTTCTGCAGAAGATAACTTCACTCTTTTCCCTGACTTCAATGACTGAGGACAACAAATCAAAAACATGAACAAAACTTTTTTCTCTAATCACTACAAGGATAAATAAGGATCTTCTGCACACGTGACATGTTATTCTCTAAACACTGACTCAGCATTTCCACTTCAGTTGTTCTGGTTATACTTTGTTTTTAGACCATACCTTCACCTGTTCTAGACATGTAACATGAAACGTGTGCTCTGTAGAATCTACATTATTTCAGGATTCTTGTTTTATTTCTAGCGTTTATTTTACGGCCCTGTCACACTATAAGATTTTACACAACTTGTGAAACTTTGTCTAAATTACTAATAAAAGTTACGTTTCATCAATTAGTTACCATTACAGTTCGTACAGGCCAAGGAGGTTCTATAGAACAACTGGAGTGCGCAGAAACCAGGTGACCGTGTGATCGGCTGGAGAAGCTAACGGCTAACGCTAAACGGACAAGAGTCTGGATTTCCCATTACTGTACATGTTGACAACAGAGCAGAAAAAAAGAACTGACCATGTAGAAATCATTAAAATTATTAACAATAATATTAA